TATTATTATTATTATTATTATTATTATTATTATTATTATTATTATTATTATTATTATTATTATTATTATTATTATTATTATTATTATTATTATTATTATTATTATTATTATTATTATTATTATTATTATTATTATTATTATTATTATTATTATTATTATTATTATTATTATTATTATTATTATTATTATTATTATTATTATTATTATTATTATTATTATTATTATTATTATTATTATTATTATTATTATTATTATTATTATTATTATTATTATTATTATTATTATTATTATTATTATTATTATTATTATTATTATTATTATTATTATTATTATTATTATTATTATTATTATTATTATTATTATTATTATTATTATTATTATTATTATTATTATTATTATTATTATTATTATTATTATTATTATTATTATTATTATTATTATTATTATTATTATTATTATTATTATTATTATTATTATTATTATTATTATTATTATTATTATTATTATTATTATTATTATTATTATTATTATTATTATTATTATTATTATTATTATTATTATTATTATTATTATTATTATTATTATTATTATTATTATTATTATTATTATTATTATTATTATTATTATTATTATTATTATTATTATTATTATTATTATTATTATTATTATTATTATTATTATTATTATTATTATTATTATTATTATTATTATTATTATTATTATTATTATTATTATTATTATTATTATTATTATTATTATTATTATTATTATTATTATTATTATTATTATTATTATTATTATTATTATATTATTATTATTATTATTATTATTATTATTATTATTATTATTATTATTATTATTATTATTATTATTATTATTATTATTATTATTATTATTATTATTATTATTATTATTATTATTATTATTATTATTATTATTATTATTATTATTATTATTATTATTATTATTATTATTATTATTATTATTATTATTATTATTATTATTATTATTATTATTATTATTATTATTATTATTATTATTATTATTATTATTATTATTATTTTTATTATTATTATTTTTATTATTATTATTATTATTATTATTATTATTATTATTATTATTATTATTATTATTATTATTATTATTATTATTATTATTATTATTATTATTATTATTATTATTATTATTATTATTATTATTATTATTATTATTATTATTATTATTATTATTATTATTATTATTATTATTATTATTATTATTATTATTATTATTATTATTATTATTATTATATTATTATTATTATTATTATTATTATTATTATTATTATTATTATTATTATTATTATTATTATTATTATTATTATTATTATTATTATTATTATTATTATTATTATTATTATTATTATTATTATTATTATTATTATTATTATTATTATTATTATTATTATTATTATTATTATTATTATTATTATTATTATTATTATTATTATTATTATTATTATTATTATTATTATTATTATTATTATTATTATTATTATTATTATTATTATTATTATTATTATTATTATTATTATTATTATTATTATTATTATTATTATTATTATTATTATTATTATTATTATTATGATTATTATGATGATTATTATGATGATTATTATGATTATTATGATTATTATTATGATTATTATGATTATTATTATGATTATTATTATGATTATTATTATGATTATTATTATGATTATTATTATGATTATTATTATGATTATTATTATGATTATTATTATGATTATTATTATGATTATTATTATGATTATTATTATGATTATTATTATGATTATTATTATGATTATTATTATGATTATTATGATGATTATTATGATGATTATTATGATTATTATTATTATTATTATTATTATTATTATTATTATTATTATTATTATTATTATTATTATTATTATTATTATTATTATTATTATTATTATTATTATTATTATTATTATTATTATTATTATTATTATTATTATTATTATTATTATTATTATTATTATTATTATTATTATTATTATTATTATTATTATTATTATTATTATTATTATTATTATTATTATTATTATTATTATTATTATTATTATTATTATTATTATTATTATTATTATTATTATTATTATTATTATTATTATTATTATTATTATTATTATTATTATTATTATTATTATTATTATTATTATTATTATTATTATTATTATTATTATTATTATTATTATTATTATTATTATTATTATTATTATTATTATTATTATTATTATTATTATTATTATTATTATTATTATTATTATTATTATTATTATTATTATTATTATTATTATTATTATTATTATTATTATTATTATTATTATTATTATTATTATTATTATTATTATTATTATTATTATTATTATTATTATTATTATTATTATTATTATTATTATTATTATTATTATTATTATTATTATTATTATTATTATTATTATTATTATTATTATTATTATTATTATTATTATTATTATTATTATTATTATTATTATTATTATTATTATTATTATTATTATTATTATTATTATTATTATTATTATTATTATTATTATTATTATTATTATTATTATTATTATTATTATTATTATTATTATTATTATTATTATTATTATTATTATTATTATTATTATTATTATTATTATTATTATTATTATTATTATTATTATTATTATTATTATTATTATTATTATTATTATTATTATTATTATTATTATTATTATTATTATTATTATTATTATTATTATTATTATTATTATTATTATTATTATTATTATTATTATTATTATTATTATTATTATTATTATTATTATTATTATTATTATTATTATTATTATTATTATTATTATTATTATTATTATTATTATTATTATTATTATTATTATTATTATTATTATTATTATTATTATTATTATTATTATTATTATTATTAATATTATTATTATTATTATTATTATTATTATTATTCTTACTACTAATATGGTTGTTGTTGTTATTATTATTAGTTTTGTTTTCGTTATTATTATATTATACGGAGTAATTACAATTTAAATTATAGAAATAAATATTATAATTATAATTAAAATTATAATTATAGAAATAAGTATAACTATAAATATAATTACAATTATAATTATAACTATATTTATAACTAGTGTAATACGTATAATAATAATTGTATCTATTATAATTATGTTTGTAATTATAATTATAATTTTTATAATTATGATTATAATTATAATTATAATTATATTTAAATTATATATGTGTAATTACATTTATAATTATAGTAATTATAATTGTAATTATAATTGTAATTATAATTTTAGAAATATTTAAATCAGATCAGATCAGAAAAATTCAGATCAGATCAGAAGGATTCAGATCAGATCAGAAACATTCAGATCAGATCAGGAACATTCAGATCAGATCAGGAACATTCAGATCAGATCAGGAACATTCAGATCAGATCAGAAAGATTCAGATCAGATCAGAAAGATTCAGATCAGATCAGATCACATCAGAAAGATTCAGATCAGATCAGATCAGATCTTAAAAAATTCAAATGAGAAACATTCAGATGGATAACAACTTCTAAGGTGCTGTTCTGTTCGTCTTATTCTTATTACTTATTGCTTATTCTTATTTTATTCAGATCAGATCAGATCAGATCAGAAAAATTCAGATCAGATCAGATCAGATCAGAAAAATTCAGATCAGATCAGATCAGAAAGATTCAGATCAGATCAGAAAGATTCAGATCAGATCAGACCAGATCAGAAACATTCAGATCAGATCAGAAACATTCAGATCAGATCAGATCAGAAAAGTTCAAACATGATTTATCATTTTTATTATTATATTAAATATTAATTATTATTATTAATATTGTTATTACTATTATGATTATTATTATATAATAATTATTATTATTAATATTAATAATAATATGATAAAAAAAGATATTAATATTAGTTATAATATTTTAATATAATAATAGTAATATAAATGCAATTGTTAAGAAGACTATTATTATTATTATTACAATATTATAATAATAATAATATGATTAATATTATTATAATATTATATTATAATTATATGTAATTATAATTATAATTACAATTATAATTCTTATAATTATAAGTATAATCAATTGTAATTATTATAATTATATCTATAATTAATTATAAATATAATTGTAATTAATTATAATTATAGTAATTATAATTATAATTACAATCATAATTATAATTATGATTATAATTATAATTATAATATAATATTATAATAATATAATACTAATTATAATAATAATCATATTATTATTATATTATTGTAATAATAATATTATTATATTATTGTAATAATAATATTAATATAATAATGTCGTTATAATAATATTAATTGTATTTATATTACTATTATTAAATTATAATATTATAATTAATGTTAATATAATTATAATTATTTTTAATTATAATTATAATAATTATAATTATACTTATAATTATATTATAATTATAATTTATGATTATAATTATTATTTTTATTATAATTATTAATATTATTATTATTATTACTATTGTAATTATTTTACGGAGTAATTATAATAATATTGATAACTATAGTTACAATTATAGAGATAAATATTGTAATTATAATTACAATTATAATTATAATTTTATTTAAATTATATTTATAATTGCAATTATAATAATTATAATTATAATTATAATTATAATCATAGAAATATTCGAATCAGATCAGATCAGAAAGATTCAGATCAGATCAGATCAGATCAGAAAGATTCAGATCAGATCAGAAAGATTCAGATCAGATCAGATCAGAAAAATTCAGATCAGATCAGATCAGTCTATCTTCTTGCCGCAATTCATGATGTCAAGCACGCCCTGGTTAGAATGGACCTCCGCTCCCCTTCCTCCCTCACTGGCGCAACACATAAAACAGCCGCTCTGTGTTCCAGTTTCCGCCTATCTCTTCCTCATAAACTCGGCACCCCTACCACCGTAATCAACTGTCATGCGAGGAAAAGCTTCAGAGTTCCATCAAATTTGCGGGCTGCTGCCGTTGAATCGGCTGAGACGGATGCGAAAGGAGTCATAGAGAGTCTATTTTCAAATACGGCTGGCAGTGAATCCGATCAATGGAGCCGCCGGAACAAGCAATCTGGTTCTGGTGCGTCCGGCATTTCTTCCGGGGTCAAGCTGGAGAATATCAGCAGGACCTATAAAGGGATCACTTTGTTGAAAGATGTGAGTTGGGAGGTGAAGAGGGGCGAGAAAGTAGGGCTGGTTGGTGTAAATGGGGCAGGTAAGACGACGCAGTTGCGGATTATTGCTGGCCTAGAAGAACCAGATTCTGGAAATGTGATCAAGGCCAAACCCAATATGAAAGTTGCATTTCTAAACCAAGAATTTGAGGTGGAAGCATCAAGGACAGTAAAGGAAGAGTTCTTAAGCGTGCTGAAGGAGGAAATGGAGGTGGCGTCGAAGCTGGAGAAGGTCCAGCAAGCGATAGAAGAATCCGTTGATGATTTGGAGTTGATGGGAAGACTTTTGGATGAGTTTGATTTGCTGCAGAAGAGGGCACAAGCTGTGGACCTGGATGAAGTTGATGTTAAGATTAATAAGATGATGCCTGAGCTAGGGTTTACTCCTCAAGATGCTGATAGACTTGTTGCCTCATTCAGTGGTGGGTGGCAAATGAGGATATCACTTGGGAAGATTCTCCTACAGGTCTATATGCTGTTTTCTTTTTGCTCCTTAGTCAAATATGGATTTACATGTTTGGTTCCTCATACTGTAAATGTCTTGCACTTGTAGTATATATCAAGATATAAACTAAGCCCTACAATGCCATTCAACTAAAAACCCTCCATCCAATTCTTGTTTTGATTGAGATTTTTTAAAGGTTTTGAAGGAGAATGCTTTGGAGGGTTTAGTCTTGATCTTGATAAATTAAGTGTTTCTAATGGTAACATGATCACCTACTATGTTATTCTTTCATTTTATATAAAATCTCAAGTATATAGTAAGATACAGACGTAGCCCCCCGGAAAATCAACAATCCAAACTAGCCGTTTTGGGGATGTCCTCTTAGGATGTTTTTACTTGGACTGTAATTTGTCCCAGATCAGACCAGACCAGACTTGGGTAGTTATAAAAATTACAAAGAAATCAGACCAGTTCAGACCAGACCAACAAATTACAGTCCAAGTAAAAACATTCTTAGGCCACAGGAATCTGGCGGTAGCCTGACCGGAGATCCAACTGCGTAATTTTTTTTAACCCATTGAGCTCATCCAATAATCCATCCATAATTGGAATTAGGTATTGTATCCTATATTGTTTACGATTCAGCTCTCTGTAGTCAACAGAACAGCGTGCCACGAGTCATCATGCATCCTGACCAAGAGCACTAGAGAAGATGACAGTGAATGACTTGATTGAATAATCCATTGTCCCAATATCGCGGTGCACCGTCTCTCGATCTCATCCTTTTTAAATTATGGATAACAGTAGGGTTGTACCATGATCGGGCCACAACCAGGAATTAAAGTAATTCGGTGATCGCATGGCCATGGGGGAGGCAGACCGTGCAGTTTTTGGAATAAATCAGGGAGGATGCTGAGGATGCCTTCTATGGTAGAATGCTCTATCAAAGTGTGGACTGCCATGTTTGCTAGTGTGCTTCTGGCGGTTGCTTTGGTCTGCCATATAACTATTGCACTGAGCCAACAGAATTCATTTTCATTTACCCCAGTGCCGCAAAGGCTCCCACCTACGGTGAGGTAAGGGGGGGGTCGGATGTACGCAGTCTTACTCCTGTACTAAAGCACAAAGAGACTGTTTCCGGATGACCCGTAGTGAAAATCGCGTCCAAAATTGCATGGACTGACTGCTGCTTCATAACAAAGAAGCGCAGACAGTTAAGTGAGCCATTTTGCTTTATTCCATCATATTCTCAGGCCAAAAAATAATGAATCTTTGGCTCCATTGCACATGATGGAGCCTAAGCATTTTAACCACTGGATCCCCAAAATCATATCAAAACCAGTTGTAGGAAGAACATAAAAATCAGCATGGAAAGAAACTCCAAAACCTTAAAAGTTAACCGATGGCAGCTACCCAAAACACGGTCCTTTTCGCCATTTATCACCACCACAAATAATGTATTGTCCTTGTGGGAATAATACTCGAGTCCATGAACCAATCATGCATGTACACAGGGGGTTGTCTTGGCTACGGCTGAGTGGCTAGAGTCGTGCCACAGATGGTTGTTGTGCTGGGTTTGCCTTGCCAGGTTTATGGCAACTTCTAAGGTTCCCAGAGCTTGAAACTCAAGTTCCAACGTACGTCTTGATGAAGTCCTTTCATGAAAGCGTTGACTTCAAACAGGCTGCGTAATCCTTCTACACACGTCAATAGTTGCTGAAATGAACTGATATACTCTCCTCGACAATTCCAGTTTGTTTGAGTCGAAAAAAAATCTCCCGAAGGGTTGGTGCTTAAAGGCGGTCCAAAATGAAGGAGACAATTTTCAGAAAAGATGCTTCAGGATATACTTGCACGTGATGGGTGCCGTCGGTTGAATAGCAGGCACAATGTTATTTTCTCCATGGAGATGATGGTGGTGTCGTGAAACTCCCAATTTTTACTCTAGGATCCTAAGGGGGAGGGGCTGCTATTGGAGTCGGCTCCTGAACCTGCAGGCGTACTAGTTAGGGTGGCAAAATGCGCAAAAAAATGTCATGGGATCTGTAATTTTTGCCTCAAGTAATCCTTGTCGCTGGTTAATGTCTACCGTGAAAGTTTTGATTGTCTCGTGTTGATGTTATTGTTCCCAATCATCTTGGATACTGAATCAGAATATCAAGCTATGACGCAATCTGCATGTGAGATCATATGGATAAGCCATTTATTGAGTGAATTTGAAGTGAAGACATCAATGGCTGCTAATTTGTTATGCACATAGCAAATAATCCGGTATTTCATGAGAGAACAAAACACATTAAATTGTCATTTTATTCGAGAAAAGATATAGAAGGGATTGATTTCTACCGAATATGTAAAGACTGAAGAACAATTTGGTGATTTATTCACGAAAGCACTAAATGGGATTCAAGTTGATTATTTATGTAACAAATTGGGCATGATAAATATTATGCTCCTATTCGAGGGGAGTGTGAAGTATATTAGAATGAATGTAGGAATATGCTTTAGCATATTTAGGAATGTACTCTAGGATATTTTTATGCTATAGAATCTTACAGGAATATTCTATTTCCTAATATATATATGGGAAAAGGGTCAAATAGGGCCTCAAACTTACATAAAAATGTCAGATAAGGCCTTATATAGAAGGCTCTGTCCGGTCGTCGCCATTTGGGGCGGTTCCCGGTGTAATATTTTGATGAATGTTTTTGAGCATCTTATTCATTAAGTCTAGTTTACTCATACCAAATTTCACCTAAAACTTCAATCGGGAAGGCATTCAAATAAATTCTTGAAGATAACTGCGCAGTTATCTTCATGAATTTATTTGAATGCCTTCCCGATTGAAGTTTTAGGTGAAATTTGGTATGAGTAAACTAGACTTAATGAATAAGATGCTCAAAAACATTCATCAAAATATTCCACCGGGAACCGCCCCAAATGGCGACGACCGGACATCACGCGCCTATTACAACACCCTCCTCCTTTATCTTGCCTTGGGACATGCATGATACCAAAAATGATCTCATGGCGGAGTTGTCCATAATATCCCCATATGGTTTGAATTTTTTAGATTTAACCCCCAAGATAATCAGTTTACTGGCTGCCGAGTAACTTGGCGAGTCAATCTTGTCAGTGAGTTACTCGAAAAAAGGAATAGTGCGAGTCAGATTACTAATCGCAAGGCCCTACCCCTAGTAGCAAGTACTCCGATTGGATAACATAGATAGCTATATGATTCTACCACCAGTAAGTGATGGTAAATAAACCGCCAATAAGCGGTGAGTAAAAGAGTAAAATATTCAACTTCTAACCAAAACACACTCAATGAACTTCAAATAGTATAAAAGATTTTTTTAACAAAAAGTTTTAAGTCTTCTAAAATATGTTAATTTGTAGTTTGAATATGTGTATGAGGATTAAGTTGTAAAATAGATCTCTATTTTGGATAAGAAGTAGAAATATGTGAAGACTAAATTGTAAAATGCATCTCTGTTGTGTATATGAACTAAATAAAAATATTTGAGAACTAGGGTGTGAAGTATATCTGTATTATGGATGTGAAGTAGAAATATTTGAGGACTAGTCTTTTAATAGATCTCTATTTTGGATAAGAACTCGAAAGATCTGAGAACTAGGTTACAAATAACTATGTCTCATACGCATGAAAATGAACTACAATTGATCTCCTGCATGCTGCATTTCTCCTAAGACAGTCAATGCTGACACTTCGTAGTTTTTCGATAATTATAAATCTGGCAACAATTCCGGTTCAGATTTGTGGCGCAAATGGCGTGGTGATAGTGCAAAAGTGGCACTGCCACATGTATGATGGTCTCCATGGAGCATTTATGTGGTGAAGAGGGCTTCAAATGCCATTGGCGTTTCATGGTGCGCTCCATTTGCGTCATCGGTTCTTATAATTATGAGGTTTTATCCTAAAAGGTTAAACTGATACAAGAATTGACCTTAGGCCTTGTATGATGGTTTATATCTTTTTTTTTTACCCCAGGGGGAGGGGGGTTGGGGGGCTTGGAGTAAACTGGGGTCAATCTCCCTCCATTGAGAATTGAACCCAGGACCTCCCATAAGGGAGAGTGAGTTGGCGACCAGTTGGGCTGGACCGCTTCCTCATGATGGTTTATATCTTTATATGTGGGAAAGTGTAACTTAAGTATTTAACATTATTAATATGTTTAATGGTATTTCCAGGACCCAGACATATTACTTCTGGATGAACCCACAAACCATCTTGATCTTGATACAATTGAGTGGCTTGAGGGTTATCTCGATAAGCAAGATGTGCCAATGGTTATAATATCACATGACCGGGCATTCCTTGATCAGCTGTGTACAATGATTGTGGAGACTGATAGGGGCGTTTCCAGGACGTTTGAAGGAAACTATTCAAATTACATTATTGAAAGGCTTGCATGGGTTGAAGCTCAGTTTGCAGCATGGGAAAAAAACCAGAAGGAAATAGAGAAAACAAAAGGTTTGATTAACAAATTGAGCGCAGGAGCGAATTCGGGCCGTGCATCTACTGCTGTAAAGGTATGCCCTTATCTTACCTTCTACATGTTATTTAGGCCTATGAAAAGGTATGCACATCATGTGTGTCACATGATATTTTATTTTTCAAGCTTCTTCTGATACGGAGCCGATCGGTCCTGCGGATCGACAGAGGGGTGCGAACGAAGGAGAACAGGGCCCCAGGCCCTGGATTGTTTACAGGAGGCGCGGACGGGATGGGGCCCACCTTCGTGGGCTGACGGGCTGATTTAATTGAGGATTCAGTTAGCTACCTATTTTATTAATTATTAGCTTTAATATGTTTCCTAGTAAGAGTTATGTTTCCTAGTTTAAGTTATTTCCTAATATAAGTTTTTAGAAGTCTTCTATTATTAGGAAGAGTAGTCTATTTATATCCCATAAGAGAATTATTCAAGGTGTGCTTTCATTAATAAAATTGGTGTATTTAAGCTTTGGCGACGGTTGCTACCGTTGATTGTTATTTCCTGTTCTTATCATCTTCTGTATCATATTTTTTTGGATGGTTGTTGCAAAACTCTGTCTCAATTGCAGTAGCGTGTCTCGTACCCAGAAATTAGTTGGGGGGAAGTATACTCAAGGTACATAGATAACAAAATTATACTAAATATAGCGTACCCAAACCCCCCCCAAAAATCACCTTTAGAATTTTATTTTTGTCTCATGAGAAGTGTTTTATTGAACAAGAGTATATCTTGTTATATTTAATGTATTTCCCCCCAAAAAAGGTGTCCCAAACACGTTAATCATTTAAGTAATGGTCAAACCAACAAATTACTGTAAAAATACAGCTAGAGCTCATTATTTTTCAATATTGCACACCTTACTTTCTTATGAGTGTTGATTTTAACATTTTATTCGTATGGTAAACAGAAGCTGGAAAAACTTGAGGAAGAGGAAAAAGTTGATAAGCCATTTATTCGGAAGCAAATGAAAATAAGGTTCCCTGAACGGGGAAGAAGTGGAAGATCTGTTGTGACGATAAAAAATATGGACTTTGCTTATGATGACAAGGTTAGTGCCATATTTACTAATTAATATCGATGAATTAGAGGTCACCAGCTTCCACCCATGCTGTTTATATCATTATATTACTCTCTTTATGTAGCGTATTGTCTTACAAATATGCATCTATTTCAGGTCCTTCTGAAAAATGTTAATTTAACAATTGAAAGAGGAGAAAAAATTGCCATTATCGGTCCAAATGGGTGTGGAAAGAGTACTTTACTACAATTGATTATGGGTTTAAAGACCCCAACCAAGGGTGAAATCTTGCTTGGGGATCATAATGTGTTACCAAACTACTTTGAACAGAATCAGGTCACTCTTTAGCTCTCTTTTCATTGAGGTATCTTAAAGAAGGGGGGCCAAGCATAGTTTCAATGAAGCATTATACAAGTAAATAATATTGACTTCATGTCATAAGAAGTCGTGTTTGTGATACTCATTCATACTATAAACATGAATTTTTCTTGGGTTCAACCAAGTAATTTGTAAGTATATTATCATAAATATTACTCCTTCCGCCCTAAAAAGATAGTTACATTTCGGATTTTAAGGTTTGACTGATGATAAAACAAACTTCTCCATGACAATTTTGTAATCAGAATGAGAAATTAAAATTGACATATTTATACAACAACAACTACATTAAAAATCCTATACAATAACAACATCCAAGTGTTAGTCCCAATTGATTTTGGGGTCAGCTAACATGAATCGATATATGAATTCAAAGTCAAAGAAAAGAAAGATAAAAGAGAAAAAGATAAGACAAGATAAAGATAAATATAAGATAAAGATAAAATGATAAGATAAAGAGGTCAAAAAGAAAATATATAAATAAAAAGAATAAAAGTATATAGAACATAAGAGAGATAAAGAAGAAAAAAGAGAGAAGAGAGAGAAAAGAGATCAATCCTCCAGTCCACACGAATATTCACCCTCCATTTTGCTCTCTCTGAAGTCATACTCTCATCCAACCCAAGAAGAAGCATATCACTTCTGATTCCTCCAATCCAGGTCTGTTTGAGTCTTCCTTTCCCTCTCCTCCCCGCCTCTTCTCCCTACCTCTCAACTCGTCTAACATGTGCATAACTTGATCTTTTACGCATACTTGCATAGAATCTTCTATAGGTGCTACTCCCACTTTTTGTCTCATGATCTCATTCCTCAAACGGTATTTTCTGATGTCCACACATGCAATGCAACATTTGCATCTCTACCACACTCATTTTTTGAATGTGACATTGTTTCCCGTCAAACACTCCACTCCATACAGTAATGCATACTTCGATCATATAAAAATTCTGATGCACTCTTCTAATTTATCCACCTAAGGTTCAAAATTGTGTATTCCATGTTTGTGGCGGTTTCTAAGCATTGGCTATTGCGTAAGCCTCAAATTTACACATATTCCTATATAAAAATATATAAATTATGTAATAAAAAATTAAATAAAAGAATTATCAAAAGTCACGTAATGCCATAACGAAAATCAACAAAAATGAGGTCCAAGTAGTATGATGTTCTAACAACACACAAAGCAAACATTTTCTAATTTAATACAATTTTAGGACTATTAGATTGAGTGTAAAAGCAAGTCATCTGTACGTTCAAGATAAAAACCATTAACATCATCATCATCATTCTCATCAAGTTCAAGATAAAAAGAAACTGCCCTAAATAGGACTAAACAAGTTCGTGTATTCCAAAACAGGACTGTTATGTTTTTATTCCCTAAATAGGAGTAGTTACTGCCATGTTTGGGCAGTACCAGACTTTAAACATGACAATATTTTATAAGCTTGACAGTAATTACTCTTATTTATTTAGGAATTAGGGAGTAAAAACATGACAGTCTTATTTTGGAATTCTCAAACGTTTTTACTCCTATTTCGTGAATTTTCCCTAAAAAGAATCATCTTCATTAGCACCAAGAAAATTATGGTGATCCCAATTGTTGAAATAGAGCACATAAACTAAGAAATAATATTGGAGAGGAAAGGATTTTCTGTGTATTTCATTGAAGGGTAAGGCCCTTTAAATATAGATTACAAAGATAGAATATTCCTATAAAAGATGCTATACAATAATACTATATATGGTATATTCCTAAAATATTCTAAAGCATATTCTAAAGTATATTATAATATACTTTCACACTCCCCCTCAAGTTGGAGCATAGATATTTATCATGCCCAACTTGTTACATAAATAATCAACTCGAATTCCATTTAGTGCTTTAGTGAACAAATCTCCAAGTTGTTCCCCAGTCTTCACATATCCTGTAGAGATCAATCCTTTTTGTATCTTCTCTCGAATAAAATGACAATCGACCTCAATATGCTTTGTTCTCTCATGAAATACAGGATTGTTTGCTATGTGTATAGCAGCTTGGTTATCACACCACAATTTAGCAGGCATTGATGTCTTCAGTCCGAGCTCGGTCAATAAATGGCTTATCCATATGATCTCACATGCAGATTGTGCCATAGCTCGATATTCTGATTCGGCACTTGAACGAGAAACCACATTCTGCTTCTTACTCTTCCAAGATACAAGATTACCACCAACAAAGACGCAATAACCAGATGTAGATCTTCGATCATCTTTAGAACCGGCCCAATCAGCATCTGCAAAACATTCTATTCTCATGTGATCATGGTTTTGGTAAACAATACCTCGTCCTGGTGCACCCTTTAAGTAACATAATATGTGTTCTACTGCAGCCCAATGATCAATGGTTGGAGATGACATGTATTGACTCACTACACTCACAGAATAGGCAATATCTGGACGAGTGACTGCGAGATAATTAAGCTTTCCAACCAGTCTTCTATATCTTTCTGGGTCTTCAAACGGTGTGCCTTCTTGAGTGAGTTGCACGTTGGGAACCATGGGTGTTGTACTTGGTTTGGCCCCTAATTTCCCTGTCTCAGCTAGTAAGTCAAGTACATATTTACGTTGAGATAGAAATATGCCTTTCTTACTTCGTGTTACCTCAATTCCGAGAAAGTATTTCAAAGAGCCAAGATCTTTCGTCTGAAATTGACTATGCAGAAAATTCTTAAGGGCCAAAATACCTGCATTATCACTCCCTGTAATCACAATATCATCAACATACACCACAAGCAATGTGACACCTGATTCTGTTTGTTTGTAAAAGACAGAGTGATCTGATTTGGCTTTTATCATTCCAAATTGTTCAATTGATTGACTAAATTTCCCAAACCATGCACGAGGACTCTGTTTCAGACCATGAAGAGACTTGCGAAGTCGACAAACTTTACCATACTCCCCCTGAGCAACAAATCCCGGAGGTTGCTCAATATAGACTTCTTCCTTAAGGTCACCATGCAAAAATGCATTTTTAATGTCCAACTGATGTAAGTGCCAATCATGAGTTGCAGCGAGTGAAATGAGTAACCTGACAGATGTTAATTTAGCAACAGGAGAAAAAGTGTCAGAATAATCAACACCATAGGTTTGAGCATAACCCTTCGCAACTAATCGGGCTTTCAACCGAGCAACAGATCCGTCTGGGTTAACCTTAACAGCAAAGACCCACTTACATCCAATAGATTTCTTCCCTGTAGGCAAGTCAACCAAATCCCAAGTACCATTAAGATCTAAAGCATTCATTTCCTCTACCATGGCATGACGCCATTCAGGATGAGACAAAGCTTCTTTGACAGATTTGGGAACAGAAATAGAATCAATGGAAGCAATAAAAGAACATGAAGCAGGAGATAACTGATTGTATGACACAAATGAAGAAATAGGATGAGTACAAGACCGTGTACCTTTACGTAGTGCTATTGGGAGGTCAAGATCTGATGTGGAGACAAGATCTGAAGATGCAGGTACTGGTTCAGGACATGAGATCGGAGTCGAACTAGTATCAGGAAAAGTAATCACAGGTATCGCCGGTGGATGGTGATCAGGTGCTTTGTGTCGACGGGTGTATACCAAATGTACGGGAGGCCTAGGGTCAGGAACAGTAACTTGTGGAATATGTGTTGAAAGTGTGGACTCAGGAATAGTCATCGTGTAAATGAGTATATCATCATTACTCTCATGAATATCCGCCTTAGATGATGAAAAAGGCGTATTTTCATGAAATGATGCATCAATAGAAACAAGATACCGACCAGTACTCGGACAAAAACATCTATACCCCTTTTGGACTCGAGAATAACCCAAGAAAATACATTTTAATGATTTGGGATCTAACTTTGTAAGATGAGGATTAACATCTCTAACAAAACAAGTGCAACCAAATATTTTAGGTGGGATAGGAAAAAGCTCTTTGTTTGGAAATAGACAATGATAAGGAGCTTTACCATTCAAAACAGAAGATGGCATTCGATTTATCAAAAAACATGCAGTAGACACGGCATCTGCCCAAAACTGTTTAGGCACATTCATTTGGAATAGAAGAGCCCGTGCAGTTTCTAACAGATGTCGGTTCTTTCGTTCTGCAACTCCATTTTGAGGAGGTGTGTCAACGCATGAAGTTTGATGAATAATGCCATGTTGAAGCATAAATGACTTAAATGTAGCAGAAAGATATTCTTGGGCATTGTCTCCTCTTAACACCCGAACAGGAACGTTAAACTGAGTTTTAATTTCAGCACAAAAGGAAGAAAAATGAGTGAACAACTCAGATCGACGTTTCATGAAATACAACCATGTCATACGAGAATAGTCATCAACAAAGGTAACAAAATATTTAAAACCAACTTTAGACACAACCGGGCAAGCACCCCAAACATCAGAGTGAACAAGGTCAAATGGAGCATTTGCTCGTTTATTAACTCGCGGGCTTAAGCTAGTACGATGGTGTTTCGCAAATTGACATGACTCACATTGTAAAGAGGTCATCTTATTAAATTGGGGATTTATTTGCTTCATTAATGGGAGAGATGGATGTCCTAATCGGTAATGAGCATCTAACAAAGTCCCAACCCCAAGACAAGAGATACCTTTTGTGATGGATGTATCCAAAATATAAAGACCAGCTGACTCATGTCCTTTACCAATAATCTGCTTCGTTAACAGATCCTGAAACACACAATATCCAGGAAAAAATGTTACAGAACAATTAAGAGTACGAGTGATTTTACTGATGGAAAGCAGATTAAATGCAAAATTAGGAAGACTCAAAACAGGCGATAATGGTAATGTAGAAGTTGGAACAACAATACCAGATCCAAGAACGGGTGATGTAGATCCATCAGCTAAAGTGACACTAGAAGTAGGTAAATATGAATGAAATGACGAGAATAGACTAGGATTACCGGTCATATGATCTGTGG